TCTACTGTCAAAATAAAGCTAAATATTAAATGGTCTTTTCTCCCAAAGAATTAACAATAATCAAGATATAAGTAAATGTTTCTCTAACAATTGAAATAAGGGAGAAGATATGTATTGGTTGATTTGTACGTGAGTTGCTTTGTGAATATTCTAAAAATTTATCTGAAAGTTCAGTCTATCATACATAAAACTAGTAACTCAGTTTGATGTTCCAAAAGCTTGCTGAACAAATGATTGCTTAATGTTAAATTGCATCTTCACTAAATTACAATTATTGTAGCTGGAAAATCCAACTAAGTAATTTGCATGCTTCCAGTGCCATTATATCTTTTTTTTTCTTTTTATACATAGATTTTATGTTAAATCATTAAGTGTGTAATACATTTCAGGGCACTATCGCATGAACTAATATGAACAAAAAGAGAATTTAAGATACATTCTGGCCTCAAGGAACTGTAGCCTGATTGGCAGGCAAGGCTCCTTTATATGGTACAACCACAAGTTACAGAATTTCAAAGATGGGAGAATTAACACACAGGATGGGCTCTGTGATGATACATGGGGAAGACTGGTAAACAGGATTTTAATGGAGGTTCGGGCATTTTGGACAAAAGAATGGCAAAAACCCAGGACAAGAGGCAAAAAATTCACAGACCATTTTTAGTATAAAGAAGTGTTTTCCTTATGCAAAAATATAAGGCCCTTTCCTGCAATGATGTGCTATATGGGAAGAATAGCATGATAAGGCCCTTTTACCGTAGCTTTGAATATAGGCAATGGAGTTCCTACCTCTTTCTACAAGAAAGTTCCATGTTAAGCTCCTGAATAATTCTGGAAAGTTCCTAAGGAATCAAGCTATCAACACATCTGTTCAGAAAGAAAATTCTTGAAGTGATATACACATTATCTTGAGGCAGAATGTTCAAGAAAGAGGTCAGGGCATTAGTCTGCATGTGCGCTGATTAAGGAACATATCAGGTGAGAGTTAGGAATCAAGGAAATACTATATGGGGTGTTTATTTTAAAATGAAACATTAGCATATTAATATAACTTAATAATGGCTAAAATGACACAACTAAATACATAGCTAATATTTATTGTCTATGAGAAAACATTACATAAAATCATCTTACAAAAGACAGCCACATTGATGTTTTTCTATCTGTATATTATCAAGAACATTGTAACCCGGTGTACTCATGTTTCCTGGAAACTCAGCATACTTTTGAGGCATTGATGTATTTTCTCCCATCTCAAGATGGCTCAGTGAGGCTTAGTCAATCCTTTCCTGCATGATGGCCAGCACTGAACCAGGCCTGCAGCTGTGTTGACTTTAGGGTATAATCTGTTTTTCCCTTTGTTCTTAACTCTCCTTCTCTTCCCTGCCTTCATCTTGTTCAAGCTTCTAAACAGATGGTCCCACCTAGCCCTCTCTTACGTCCAACTTCTGGGTTTGTTCAGATGTGGTTCCTGAGTGCACTGCAGCAGCAGCAGCAGCAGCAGCACCCGTCAGTGTTGCAGAAATGCAGACTCTCTGGCTCCACTTCAGGGCACTGAGTCAGAAATCTGGAGTTGAGATTCATCAGTCTGGTTCAACAAGATTTCCAGGTGATTCTGACAGCTGCTTCAGTGTAAGGAGCGCCACGCCAGAGAATGATTATACTCATTTTTCTGTCAAGATATATCCTCAAAATGTCTAAGATCTATTCTACATGTTTTGGAAAATCCTTTTTCATTAGATCTATTTATTTTTATTTTAAAGGCAGATTTATAGAGAGAAGCAGAGAGAGTTTGCCATCAGTTGGTTCACTCTTCAAATGGCTGCAAAAGTCAAAGCTAAGCCAAATCAGGAGCCAAGAGCTTCTTCCAGGGGTGCAGGGGTCCAAGGACTTGAGCCATTTTCTGTTGCTTTCCCAGTTCATAAGCAGAGAGCTACATTGGATGTAGAACAGCCAGGAAATGAATCAGCACAGCTGTCTGAGATGCTGACCCTGCAGGTGGAGGCTTAACTTACTATACCTCAGTGCCAACCCTGAAAAATTCTTTAAGTACTTTTTATAGTAAGCAAAAAATTATGAAAATATCTTAATCCAGTTGCTGCAATGAATTTATTATGCTAGGACTGTCAGTAATGAGTTTATGAGTAGTTCCTCCTTCAAGGTCGCTTGCTGGTCCAAGCTTGAACTACATTTTGTCATCATGGCAATATCTGATCCAAGTAGCAAACATTCTTTCTCAAGGAACATGAATTGTCAACTGCTTTCCTGAGCAGGGATTTACCAAATAAACCAGAAGGAAGTCTTACCTGACCCTGTCTCCTGCCAAAAGAAAACAAACAAACAAACAAACAAGCAAACAAAAAACTTTAAGTAGGTAGGTATATAATGTGAGACCAGCAGAGAATTAGCTGGGGTTTTGTTAGATATATAACCTGAATTCAGACTTCTTTTAGGAAAGATAAGAAGCAGTTATGGTTATTTAACAACACTATAAATAGTCCATACAGGGCAGTGTACCTTTTCTGATATCTGAATTTAATGCAATTTAGGGTTGAGATGAAAGATTCAAGGACCCAATTCCTGAACTGCACGGATACATCCAATTTATGTCCTTAAGTGAAATGTATTACTAGATGTCTGCATTTATATGTAAAACTACTTTTGCTCCACCATCAAGACCTTTTTTAAAAGAGAAATTTAAAAGTTTAAACATGGTAACAGCTTCAAACACTGTTTATAAGCCTCTCAGTTGCTTTGTCAGAGGCAGCACGTATCGGGGAAGGAGTGAGGTGCAGTGTAAACTTAAACTGAGACAGGAAATAGGATGGGACAGGTGGTTAGTGCTGTTTCACGTGGTACCAAAGTAAAGAAACAGATGAATATTCCTGTAAAACATAAAACTGAGGTTTCTAACATTTATTCAATTGTAATTTGAAAGATCTTGGTAACTAATGCAGTAAATAATTGGCTAAAGGCAGTTTTATTCCACAGTTGACTAAAATCAACTGCCCCAAAGAATATTTATTAGGTATTAATGATTTATTCAATTTCTAGGAAGAACTTTTCATCAGCTTTAAGAGTCAAGGCTGTAAGTCTGAAACAGCACTAAAAAGATGAAACAGTGGATTATTAGGGCTAAATTACATCATCCTTGACATATTCTCTCTGCATTTTTGAAAAACTCATCGCTTGTGAATTTTTGTAATAACTATGTAGTCACTATTTGTCAGTCAGCAGCAATGCATGCATGGCTTTTTCTTAATATGGAATGAAAATGTTCTTTTCATTTTATCATCTAACAATGTACCAATGTAGAAATAGGGCAAATTAGTCTAAATCAATCATAAAAAAGTTTTCAGCTTCATACGGAAAAGCTATACAATCAACATTGCGTAATTGAATTTAGTAGCTCAGATGATATTTTATACAAACATGGCTCTGCTTGCTAAAATGAATGCAGGTTCCTGTGATCAACGGAACTTTATCAGTGTGAGTCATACGATGACTCAGCTCTCATCACGCCACTCTAAGTATTGTAGAACTATATTTTATGCCTGCCTGGTGGGATCTGCTTTCCTGTGCTTTGCAAAAACATACCATGTATGTGTTCAGTCGGCTTCTGATTTTTTGTTGTTGTTGTTATTTAGCAACAATTAAAATAGTACTATGAATAGTTAATCTTAACTATAAATGAAATGACAAGAAATAGAATGATGGGAAATATTTATTCTAAAGAAGCCATCAAAATAGTTACAAATTTCCCTTTATCGCTTTTTAAAGGCTGTTCTAGACATGACCACCTGACATCCTCTTGAAAAGCAGGGGGCATCTGAAGCGCACATGGCTGTACCTCCTCTCCCTCTGCAAGGAAGCATGAGGCCCCACCTCCCTGCAGACAGCTTCCAGCCTCAGTTGCTTTAGGGCTTGCTCAGCTGCAAAGAGCTGCCCAGCTGGAGCGCTCATCCTTCCCCAGATGCCCACATTCTGTGGCTAACTGAGGTATAATGTTAAAGCCCAGTTCTTTCCTCTTTATAGGGACAGCTCTTATTGGATCTGATTTGCTGTAGACTGCCTTTGGGGAAGGCTGAAGCCTCATCAGCCGAAGTGCAATTTCACTCCTTCCTCCCTCGCTCTCCTCCCTGGACTATGATTCCTAATAACCTTCACGACAAACTCAGAGTGTTTGCCTCCAAAGAATCTAGTCAACAAGAGCTTCCTCTCTGAGGACTCTCAAGGGAACAAAATGCCTCTCTGCGGCTCTCATCCTTGTCTTCTCAAAATTCAGCTTCAGGTAGAAAATTCCCATCAACATTTCCAATTCAACAGGTCTGAATCTGATGCATAACTGATCTCTTGGGCTCACATCTGAGAACAATTTGTGTGTGTGTGTGTTTCCTCCTGTATTATTTATTTAACAGCACTACATATAATAGTCCCATGGCATCAGGAGTTGGGAAGTAATTCTGATTCCCCATACAGCGTGCTCTGCACGTCTAGTCTATTATTCATGTCTCTTAACGTGTAGAGGACTGCTCATTTCTCCAGGGATCCACTTCCTGCTAAACAAGGATGCTCCTGAAATGATAATGGACAGCTTCTCTTTGCTCTTGGGATACTTATTCTTTTGAACAGCTTCAGTTTTTCTTCAGTTCAGTTCTACAGAATTCAAACTGTCCCCTCCCTCAAAAAATCCCTAAAGGTTTTTTAGCCCAAATCACAACTCACTGTCACCTCCATACTTTGAAACACAATAAGCTGCTGACATATTAAGTAAAAGGAATGATGCTTTGAGGGGATTAGTAGCAAATGCTAAAGGTCTTGCTTTTCCTTTTTCAATTAGCTTTAGTACAGTACAGTTTTTTGAACAAAACACTTATTAGAATTTAAGGACAATGCATTATATTTTTCTTCTTCTATATTGCAACAGTAAAGAAAACCAAGTCTTGGAAAATGCCAAAGTGATGATTTTATAATATCAATAAAAACAAATGAATATCATGATGTAGTATAAAAATCTAAGAAAAGACATGTTTTTAAAAGCAAACAATTCACTGAAAGCTACTGATATTTAAAAGTGAAAGTTGTGTTGTCAGTTGTAAATGAGAATCTGAGATGTTTGTAAGGGAAAAATTGTCAGGAAAGCAGTAAAACAGTTCATGCCCATGGGTACAGTCTTGAGAATTTGTGACAGCCATTATGAACCCGAAAATCATGACCACAGCACCCATGGGAAGCATGAGACAGGACATAATCTTATCTGAATGTGTCCTTGGTTCTTCAGATAGTTTCAGATAACAGGCTGATGGAATGATAAAAATTAGTGGAGCTGCACAAAGTACACCCTGTATGTTGGAAACAAGAAACAAGATAATTTTACTGGATGGAGACATTCTTTAAACAGTTTCCATAAACATTTACAAAACGTATGTTTCATTGAATTTGTTACAAATTTGATAGGTCCCATTGAGTCAAACTGAGAAAATAAAGATAATCCCAAGAAAGTTTTCGAAATAGAATTTGCTTCACCAACAGATTATTTCCAAATGATAAGTCAAATAGTATAACTGTATATCAAACTTAAGACAAGGGTAACTACAAAATAATATTGAAAACAGAGCAGACAGCAAGGTTAGTGTTTGACAAACTATTGCAATTTCTCATGTTTTTATTTACATCCTGTTATTACCCCTTGGATACAAGTTAAAACTTTTGGGAAACTTTACTGGGAATATTGTTTCACTCTTTATCTGAGCTTTTATGGAGGAATACAGTCCTCTGTGGGAAAGGAATACTATAACCCTAAGGGCATTTGTCATGAAACAGTCTTTCTAAATCTTCTTTCAAGTAAAACTAAACATAGTAATTGCCCTAGAAAATAGACAGAAGATCTAGAGGATTGTAACTCAGCCATCCTCTCCCACATTAACAAGGGATAAATCCAGTCTTAGAGGGGATGTCAGATTGAAACTAATGAATAATAGAGTTATTCATAATAAAAATACCTAGAGTTACTGACTTCAGAAGAAAATAAAATTTCCCCTTGAACAGGCCTAATTTTCACTAGAGACTTTGTAAATTTCATGTCAAAAGTGAAGGCATTTTAAGTACTACATTTTTCTAATTACATTAAGTGTGAATTATGTTGAGAATTGAATAAGGTAAGTAAAATACATTCAAAATGTTGACAAATATTGTATTAATAAAGCAGAATAAAATGATTGTCTTTAGAAACTTATAAGATACAAATAATAGATTATAAAATGAATTAAATTAATACATCATTTCACAGTTATCTTTTTCCTTGACAAAAACAGTGAAAACCTACTCATGTAACAACAACAATAAAATCCTCAAATACAGATTTAGTAAATATAAGTAGTCCTCCTGTTGTACACGAGACCTCTGTACGTATCTGCCCCACAACTGGCTCTTTGTCGTTGATGGTTTTCATTTCTCCATTTCTTCCCTATTCAATTTTTTTTTTTCATTTTTCTGTTGCTTTGTACCCTGGTAACCACCGTTTTAGCTTCTTTGTATACGTGATTTCTAAAACAGCTCCCATATATAAGTGATGTCATGTAATACGTTTTTTCTCTCTGGCTTATTTCACTTAGAATAATATTTTATATATCCATCCATACTGGGGAAAATGGTAGGCTCTTCTATTATTAAGCAATTGATATACTATTGTATTTTAGGGTACTTTAAAATGAAGTGAAAAGATAATGAACATTTCCAAAAGATTTTGAAGTTCATTTTCATGAACCTTTTTATATGGCACATTTTCAATTTCTGAAGTATCCTTCATATGCATCTTCATATACATGACACCTTTTCTTTATTTTTCTGTCAATGAGTATTTCAGTTGTTTTCATATCTTGGCTGCAATGAACATAGGGATGAAGATACTTTTACAAGTTGATTTAATTTCATTTCCTCTGGGTATATATTCAGAGTAGGGATTTCTGGCTCATTTGGTAGTTTTTTTTTTTTTTTAATTATTATGATCCTCCATCTGTTTTCCATAATGTTTGTACCAATTTGCATTCCTACCAATAATGACTTTAAATTCCCTTTTATCCAAAACCTCATTAATATCTTCTCAACATCACTAACCTTGCCACTCTTATGTATGTTCAGCTCTACAGTCAATAAAAAAAAAAAGATTTATTTGAAAGGTAGAGTTATGGGAAGAGGGGAGGGAGGAAAGTAGGAGGGAAAGAGAGAGGGAGAGAGGAAGAGAAAGAGGAAGGGGGAGAAGGAGAGAGGCAGAAAGAGAGATTTTTTGTTTGCTGGTTTAGTCTCCAAATGGTCGCAATGACTGGGGTTAGAACAAAGCCAGGATCAAGGAGTTTCACTGGATCTACCATGTGGGTCACCTTCCACTGCTTTCCCAGGTGCACATGTATGGTGCTGGATTGGAAGTGGAGCAGACAGGACCGGAACTCACATAGGTATAAGATGCTCTTATTCAGGTGCTGGCTTACCTCTGCCACAAACCGGTCTGAATTTTAAAATCAGGCTGTTTTTCTGCTGTGGAGTTGTAAATGCTCTTCATAAATTTTAGAAATTAAACCATAATCAGATGTGTGATTCACAACTACTTTTTTGCAATAGATAAGTTGCCTTTTCATTCTGTTTGTGGTTTCCTTGGCTGTGCAGAGGTGATTTTGTTTATTATAACCCAATTTATTGATTATCTTGCTTTTACAGCCACTGAAAAGGATATATTAAAGTGATTTCTTTCGATGTTCTATTTTAGGAATTTTATTATTTTAAATCTTATATTAGGTCACTTAATACAGTTTGAATTGTGTGTATGTTTTATGCTATAACAAAAGGGTTCCATTTCATCATTTTCTTGTGAAAATCCAGTACAGCGCCATGTACTGAAAAGGCTGTTCTTTCTCCCACTGTGTCTTCATTCTTGACCCTATATGTTTGGATGTATTTCTGTACTCTAAATTGTGTATCATTGGTCTATGCTTGTTTTATGCCAATACCATGTTGATTTGACTACTAAAGCTTCGTACGATTTTAAAAGAGGAAGTGTGATGCCTCCAACTTTGTTTTCATGATCAGAATTCCTTTGGATATTCAGAATTTTTGTATTCCATTCCAGTTTCAGGATTTGTTTTCATATTCCTATGAAGACTGCCATTACAATTTTAGTAGGGATTAAGTTGAATTTGTGTTTGTTTTTAGATAATAGGGATATTTTAAGAAGGTTAATTCTTATGATTCATAAACACAGGATATCTTTCTGTTTATTTGTGTCTCCTTTCATCTTATTCATCTTTTAAGTGTATAAATCTTTAATTTTTTTTCTTTTCTATTTGAGAGGCAGAAAGACACAGGGCTTCCACTCCTGGTTCACTTCCCAAAACCCACATCTTCCTCTGAGTCACAAATTTAATCTAAGACTTACACGTGGGTGGTGGAAACCCAATTAACTGAAATATTAACAATGCTTCCCAGGATCTACAATAGCAAGAAAGTCGATGATCCAGGTACTTGATGCAGGATGCAGATGTCGTAACTGAAGTGTCAACTGCTTGGCTAAACATCCTCCATGAGGCATTTCCATTAAGAAAGAATTCCAAACTCGCTCAAATAATTTTTCTGGATTAGTTGTGATGACCATGTAGCCTTTCTCTTTTTTTCTGTTATGTGATGTATCTAAATGATATATTCTTCAGCCATAGCATAAGCCTTTAGAGCCTGTAGTTAGAGGTGGGCACAGCAGTTAAGATGTGAATTGCGACAAGCACATCGCATGCAGGATGCCTAGGTTTGAGTCTCAGCTCCTTCATTGCCATTTGCAGTTCCTCTCCTCCCTTCTCCTCTCCTTTTTTTCCCACCCTTCTCCTCTCCTCCCTTCTCAAAATGTTTTCTGTTTTAAAAAATTGTTATTATATAAGTTTGTAAATATACGTAAAAGCAGAGATAACGGTCTAATGTGCTGATCTCCTATGGCTTAGAAGATTTTTAAAATTCATTTTGGCAGACTTTGCTGAAAAAATTACAGCCGACTGATTTTGTATTACGTAAAATAAAAGGTTACACCTTTAAAATAATATTTCTCAATATCATTATTAATATATTTCAAGTAACATCTCAATACCAAAGTATTACAACTAAAATTCCTATAATATAACCTCTTTATGTTTCATAAAAATAAAAATTCAGAGAAATGGCAATTAAGGGTAACATTCTGAAGTCAGACAATCAGATACTATCTAAAAGTCTGAGGAAGTGTGGAATACACTGCATGGTAAAATTTTCCATAGTAATAGATATAAGAGGAAATACCAAGACATACCAAAATATATTGCCATTCACAGCACCTGAGTACAACTGAGTCTCTTTAAAGCACACAATCAAGAAAATACCACTTGCCAGCTGATACTGAATCAATTATGGATGTGACTTCATAACGCTCTTTCATGATACTTTGAATTGACAATATTTTTCATGTACAGAAAATACTGTAGAACTCAGTCCATGTTTGAAAGGGGGGGAAAATTCCTTTGCTTTGAAATAATGATGTAGGGGGGTGGGGAATTCAGATACAAACATGCACATTTGTTTGAGCCTGTAATCTCTTTGAGTAGACATGAATATTTGAGGCTAATTCATCTGGAGCTGCAAAGTAGAGGGTGCTATCAAGATGAAAAGTGTCAGCATGCTTCCAAGAAGCTGTTAGCACTCACTCAGCTTCACTTGCTGGGCAGTGCAAAGCAGCGGGCGTTCTATTTATGATACAATTCTTAAGTTGAGACACTAGAAATGAGAATAACATAGCTGAAGGTTCTACTGGAAGAGGTCCGGTATATTGATTAACTTGTCTACAGATCTGGTATTTACTTGTGATTGGAAAGTTTCACCTGCAGCTCTTGCTAGGGCTCAGGATCCTCAGCCAACGGACAGTGTTGTTCCTTCTGATGTATTCTCTACCAATTAGTGCGGCTTACTTGATCTACTTAATGTAGAACTGCCTGAGGGAAAACCCTTGGTTTTGGAATAATTTTTGAAATTGCTTGACAAGACATAGAGCTGTAACTACTTGTTAAAGATAAAAAATAACTTTTTTTTTTAAAATAAAAAGGCAGGTCAGCACTACTGTTTTGCAGCTTATAACATGGAAAGCAAAGAAGGTGCTGAAGAATTTTGTTGGCAAAGCAGTGCAGAAAAGAAGATAAATCCCCTTTTACGAACAGAAATCTCTTAAATGATTCAAGGAAGATGAAAACTAGTGAAAGAGTCCTTATTTTTCCTTTAAACTTTCACTTTATGATCAACTTGGACTAATGAAATATCCCTTGAATGAAACTCCCTGCAGCTCAGGAGGTCTCTGCTTAGACTGTTGAGTGCTTAAGCACCTGAGTTCCTGCTACTCGTGGGAGACATGAAATGAGTTCTTGGCTCCTGACTTCAACGTAGCTAAGGTCACTCCATTGAGGGTTTTCAGGCAGTAAACCATATACGAAGTGAACCAATAAGGAAAGATTTGTTTAACACTCGGCCTTTCAAATAAATATATATGAACAAAATATAAAAACTAAAACTGCGATTATATTTACCTTTGAATAAATATTGCTGTCTATTCATTGTTGTCTATTGAAAGCACAACTTAAAAAAGGGAATTAAAGTTCCAAATGGGCTTTTGTATTAGTGAATAACTAAAAGAGCATCAAATAACATGTTATATTATCTAATTATACCAAATAAGGTGATTTGGGTCCGGTGCAGTGAACTAGCGGCTGGAATCCTCGCCTTGCACACGCCAGGATCCCTTGTGGGCATCAGTTCTGGTCCAGGCGGTCCTGCTTCCCATCCAGCTCCTTATTTGTTGCCTGGGAGAGCAGTGGAGGATGGCTCAGGGCCTTGGAACCCTGGATCCATGTAGGAGGCCCTGGGGGAGGCTAATTACTCCTGGCTTTGAATTGGCTCAGCTCTGGCCATTGTGGCTGCTTGGGGGCAGTGAATCATCAAATGGGGAATCTTCCTCTCTGTCTCTCCTCCTCTCTGTACATCTGACTTTCCAATATAAATAAATAAGTAAATAAATAAATAAATCAATAAATCTTAAAAAAACTCACACCTAATTATGATTCAGAATCTTACAAAAAGAATTTCTAAATTACAAATGTGACAATGAAACTTAACAAATGAAAGCTGTGAACCAAATTCCTAAAGTACTATAATTATTGTCTTAGATAAAGGTATTAACCAAAAATTATTAAGAAAAAAGCTTTTAGTTCCAGTTTATCTCCTAGTATTTATTTTAAGCCCTTGTTAAAGTCTATTGAAATGTATTATGGGTCACTCTTCACCTTTCTCCTGAATAAAGACAATACACAGATTTTTAACTTTAACCAAGCATAACTATTTTTAGCTTTAAAAAAGCATAACTGTTTTACATAATTGAATATCTCATACTTAGAAAGTTTCAGGCTTGTTATAATGCTTAAAAATGGAGGCTATCAGGTTCAAATCACTGCGCCCACATCCTGATTCTTCCATTTATATTTAGTGTTAACTCTATCTAATCCCCCATACCTGTTTTCTCTATAAAGCTAATATAGATCAAGGAAGATAACATATATTAAACACCTGGCACAGTGTCAGCAATACATATTAATTCACGTTAGGACTACAAAGTGGAACACAGCATGCAATAGCTACTCCTAATGTGTTGGATGTTCTAGGATGTGTTTTCTATTTCTAAAAAGTGATACCTGATCCTGTGGTATTCGACATGGTAAGTGACTACACAAAATGGAGATGAATAATGACCTGACCATAGTATTGTACGTACCAAACAACTTCTGTTGATGAGAAAAACACGGAGAGTTGGAAGGAAATGGGAATACTGGGTTTTGTTCATCCCTACTTTATGCTTTAAAACTAGTGTAATTGTCAAAGATAATTAGATCATCACAGAATTTACTACTCTTCTGAAATTGTTTTTTATGTATGTCTTTGTAAGCAGATGCATAAAAAACTGAAAGATCTATAATTATGTTTCATATTTGTAAAAATATTCCACAGCTGGCCCAGATCCTGCTTTTATAATAGCTAATCATAAAGATTTCTTTCTGATTATTGTATAATGTCTAGATTATCTCTTAAATACAGTTTTCCCTGTAAATACAAAGAAGGATATTTCACACGATTAGGTAGTGATAATTTTGTTATGTATTGGTCAAAGAGATTAGCAATTAATTTTACTGAAAGTAATAAATTGACAAAAATCTATGAGTGATATATGTGTACTTGGTTAACTTAAAACAAAAGTAACTTAGTCTATCAAGATGCAGTGAGTATTCAGGCAGTTGATATGCGTTTTTGCTTTTAACAAAATCCTACAACATTAAAAGAACAAGCAAGTAAATAAATAAATTTGTGATCTGGAAAGGAATATTTCATAAGAAAAACACATCTGAGAACCATTATGTTATCAACTCCCCAGCACAGTTGGAAGATTACTGCTTGCCATGCTATGATAATTTGACTTTAGTGTTCTTAGTACTGTGAAATAATCTACTGTGGAAAATGGAGATGGTTGTATAAACATTCTTGTCTAAAAAGATAATGCAGATTAGTAAAGTAAGCTTAAGAAGAGCTGAAAAAGACATACTAAATAACTGAAATGTTAGTGCATTCAAGTAGGAGCAAGCGATTTGCGCAAGTCCAGGTTGGTATAGGATATGATGTTGAATCAGCCTGCTAGTGCTAAAATTGAGTAGTTAGTTTTCATACTTGTCTTACTCTTTGCAAACTTGGTTTCTATTTATGCAAATATACTTCCCCAGTCCACTTAATTCTCAGAAAGCTGCCTATTCCCCATTTTCCATTCATGCTCACTAGTATGTTCTTGACTGGATCTCCCACTGCTTCTGTCTAGGACTTCAAATAGGAATGATATCCATAGATTTAGTAACTAAAGCACTCACATGGATGCTTTCAGCTATGCTTCAGCACTCCATGAAATAAGTAAATGACTGCTTGGGATCCCACTTGTAAAAATTCTGTCCTCCCTGTGGTGCAGGAACGAGACATAACAAATGGCATGTAATTCTAATAAGAAATTTTATAAGAATACTAGGAGGAAAAAAATTAATGGCCTTCCTATTGATGAATCCACTTCCATTCTTATCTTGCCAAATGGGATACTTATCCTAGTTCAAAAAAATAGAATGAAGAACTCATTCTTAATGAGTTCTTCCAACTTTTATTCTCCCAGTTTAATCTGTTTCTAATTATGTCATTTTTTATCAACAATATCTTTTGGAAGTATATTCACTTCCCTCTGTCTCTTTCATTGACTAATGATTATAGGACTGTAAGTTCATTTGCAGAAAAAGAAAAAAAGCCAAGCATAGAGATCTTTATTTTGGGAGGCCATTATACTTCCATTGTGCTGCACAGAATAATTATTCAGTAAGTAAATAGCTAATGAATAAATGAGTTAGAAGTTTCTGTAGACTTTGAAGTCTTTGTTAGATCTGGATACAATTGAGGGAAATAATCATTAGTGGAAAGAAAAACAGATTAGGCAAAAGATATAAGAAAACTTCGATATGACTTTTTCACAGATCCAAGATAAACTGTCCCGAAGGTACACTTCAGTAAGTAAACGGGAAATAAGCACCCATTTGAGGCATGCAATCTGACTGTAGATACAAAAGCATTTGTACTCGCTATGGTAGGAAAGTGGATTCTTTTGAAAAAGATGCTAACTTATTGAAAGCAGGGCTCAAATGTGTGTTAGATGAAGCCAGAAATTTCAGATTAACTCAGATGTATGATAATGAGAGCTACACTGAGTTGGTAGTAGCAGAACTACAAAAGGAAGACCTAGCAGGGCTAGGGAACTTCTTAATCCAAGAGCCATTTGGATATCTGCAGCATCATTCGTGGGCCATACAAAACTATCAACTTAAAAATTAGTCTGCTACAGATATACTGAGTTTTGAATCCCCCCATAGTTGCCTGGACAGGATTATACAAAATAATTCTGTGGGCTTTGTATGGCCAGCAGGTCAGACATTCTCTACCACTGAAAGAAATCTTTTTTAAAAAGGAAATTTGTCCATAGTAAGGGAATGTGTAATAGGATGTAGTACTTCCCCCCCATATATTGGTAAATATCATGAATCATATTTTCACTCAGCATACGTGCCATATATATTTAATTTACAATAATTTCTATACATATATGTATACATATAGATCTGTTATATTAATGAGATATGCAAAAATGCTTTCATCAAGGTTTCTCAAGCTCAGTACTATTGGTATTGTAAATCAGATTTTTTTTTTTTAATTGGGGAGAGACTATCCTGTGGATTGTGGAAGATTTAGCAGTACCCCTTGGCTTCAATTCACAGAGTCAATAGTACTGTCTACCTGAATGAAACAGCCCAAGGAGTCATTAGACACTGCTAAAGTTCTCTGGGGAAAGAACAAAATTGTCTTGACTTGAGAACCATGTCCTTAAAACTGTATAATCCTACATGTGGCATAGTATCATTATTGTAAAAAGTTACTATTGTAGGGTCCAGCATGATAGCATTGCGGTTAAAGTCCTCATCTTGCATGCCTGGGCTCCCATATGGGCGCCGTTCTAATACCAGCAGCTCCACTTCCCATTCAGCTCCCTGCTTGTGGCCTGGGAAAGAAGTCGAGGATGCCCATAAACCTTGGGACTCTGCACCCTTGTGGGAGACCTAGAGGAAATTCCTGGCTCCTGGCTTCAGATTGGCACAGCTCCAGCCATTGCGGCAACTTGGGGAGTGAACCATTGGAGGGAAGATCTTCCTTTCTGTCTCTCCTCCTCTCTCTATATCTGACTTTCCAATAAAAATAAAATAAAAAACCCTTACTATTATAAGAATATTTTCACTAGGCTTTATAAAGGGTACCTTTGTCATACACAGTTTTTAAAGGGATTTTTCAGAATGAAGGAAGTAAATCCTTAAACACACTTACATTGAGCTCTAAAACTATCCCAAGGCAATCAATCAGCAATGACACCACCATTGCTACCATAATGATGACCACTGTCACAGCAATGTGGAAAACGGAGGAGAGAGTCCCACCAAAAAACACATTGGCAACTACCTGCAAAATACAAAGAATGGTTTGAGAGCAGCTGTCAGAGGAATGCACGGGTTAGTAAGAAAGTTTTTCATAATAGCATATGCCAAAAAGATTATACTCAGACCTCACCACCATGAATATTCTTTTTCCAAGTATTCCACATATGCATGTATATAAGTAGACTGATGCTTTTTGTTGAATTATTATATTCCTTTAATCATAGTAAATGCTAGGAATACTGGATTCCAGTGTCTGAATGCATACATTCCTCAAGATTCAGGAAGCCTTTGGGAAGTTACCACAGTCTTTTTTTCTCTGAGCCCAGCAAAGTCCACATGCTGTTAACATTATTTGAATGGCTTCTAAGGAAGGAGTTACCACATTTCCTCTAATAACACTAGCTGTGTAATATCCTTTGCTAGCATGTAAACAAAATCCCTTTTGTTACATTGAATTCTATTTTTTTCTCACTTTTCCTTGGCAAAAATGGAAGTGAGTTTATCGCCATTTCACACCAGTCCTCAGATCTGGAAATCTATCAGCAGTTACCTAAGTCGTATGTCTCACACTGTGATATGATTTGCAAATACGAAATGTCTAGAAGATGAACATCTGACTCTCAGAATTAACATCCTGTTCAGAGAAAATCAATCCTAAGAAGCAGAGATCAGTTTGTGACAGGACAAAAAAGATCAAATAGCATGTAGAACCAAAAGAAGCTTTAGTTATCTAGATCTGCCTCCCGTAGAGTAATCTGGTTTACAGAATTTCTGAAATGTGTTTGGCCTGTCTTGTCTTGAGGTAGGGCTTTAAAAAACAATAGGTAAGATCTGGACCAGAATTACAAAATGAGACAATAATGGGAAAGAGAAGAAAGGAGAATGAATAAGAGTAGTATTTACTAAAAGCAAAGGAAAACGTGGTTTGGACAGAGTGGTGATGCTGTTCAAAGAACAGCCAAGAGCTGGCATGGTTAGGAGTAGGTGAGAGGCTGGGGCATCCAAAGAAAAGCATGGCTGCTAATAGGCTGTGATGCTCACATACTTGCCAAACATCAGATACTAACACAAACCTGTTAATAATGTAATAGTGATATTAATAACTGTTAGTGCTTATAACATCATATTTAAATTATTTCTGATAGATGCCTCCAATAGGTATGCATATATGTGAAAGGTGACTTCATGAAGGAAGCTAGTGAGGGAAATATATTAGCGGTAGACAGCCTTTGTGACAGCCTTGTATGTAACTGGTTATCTTTGTGTAGGAATGATATTGATTATGTTTATGTCAGCTGCTGTGTGTAGAAAGAAGAAACAGAGCAGAAACGGAACGGGTGAGGCAGATAGAATATTGCTGTGTCAGACTGCTGCTCCAGTAGCGGTCTTGATTGGGTCTTTCTTCCTGCCACGGCAGCTGCGAAGGGGACTCGGGTTCCGAGTGCTGCAGACAGAAGTGGCTGCAGGTGAAGTGACTCAGACTACCCATAGGCAGTTTACCAGAAACCACCGGAGAGTGCACCATCTGTTCCTGCTGATCTAGATATCCGTTTTGTAGCTAAAGTGCTGGGCAGAAGTTAAAACCATTTCCTGCATCTGACAGTAGTTTGCATTCTTCTGAAAGGCTCTTAGACGTTAAACCCTCAGCCTTCTGACACTACCCTTGGTTCAGCCGGTGTTTCACTACAGCCTGGGTAGAGTGTCGCCAGTGGTCAGGCCAGTGGTTCTCAGGCATTTGTAAGCGAGCAGAAGCACTGACTGCACAGAACACACATTCTGCCGAGCGTCTCTCTTTCCTCAGTGCTGGCAGAAGGCAGGCACTAGCCTGGCTTGAAGGGCCTACCGTTACTTAGCGCATCTAAAGCGTGGTAGACGTTTCCCTTCACACATTAGACTCATTCACATGGTGCCCTGCGTAAACAGTCCGAGGCATAGATTCTGAGACTAAGCCCTTTCAGTGTTTCCTGAAAGAACCACTGTGAAACAGGATCATGTTTTACTGCTGACTGGGACAGAGGATGCTCAGCTGAGGACAGAAGAGGCTCCTGACAAGCCTTGTTATCTCCTTTCATACAAAAAGAAATTTACTCACTTCCAGCTAGTCTTCCTGTGCAAAACCAGATAGACTATAATTTGAAGCTTATTTTGTAGCTAAATATACATACATATAATAAATTACATATTTCTGTCATTGTTTATGTTATTGTATGTTATACAAGTGTTGATTTAATTCTATTACCATATTTAAGTAAATTATATAAATGAAATATATAACCACTAAAGTTAAGGCTTAGGTTTCACTTTGGTTCTTGATAAAGTACAAGATATTTTAGCTTTTTAAAAATAGCAAAACCAATTACAGTCTAATCTTTAATGCACGTTGACTTACAAAAGAACAATAAGATAATATTTTTCACAATACGTTTTAAGCTCATATTTTAATTTCTTTTTAAGAATATCTAAAAAATTCAGCACTCTTAGCTGGGCAGTGTTGACAGCTATCATTCATTCATGATGCAGTTGTATAAACATCTGTGCTTATGGTAATTTGAACCATAACATAATTTCCGAACCCAAATTGTGAAAAAAAATCTTATACATATATGAATATGCATTCATCTTTAAAACTGACATAAGTAAAAGGAAAATTTTTTAATTGTATCACTTTTCCTTCACTTATAAATCTGTAGAGTTGAATTATTTGCACATCTCGCTACATTGAAGTGAGGAGAGCAAATACCCGGGTGGAGTACTGGAAAGCACATTGCCTACCTCTCTAGTCACAAAGCATTCAATTGGATACGTCAAGATGACAGTGATACCATAACAAAACCTTCCAAATGTCACCAGGTCATCACTTCTGCAATAATTTTCAAATAAGTCTCCTAGAGAAAAATAAAATAAATGTATTTAACAGATACTAGATGTTTGAGATAACTATGTAGCTAATGAAATGTTGTATTTTTGTTATACAAGCAAAGCACCATACATAGGTTTTCACTTAGTTTAGAAAACAGATTATGATATCTAAATATAAATTCTTGCATCCAGTAACTATGTAGCTATTCACTGTCATGAAAACCAGTAGATATTCCACATGAAGGTAAATGTTCATTGTGTTTGGTACGTTTGTATCAACTTCTGAAAAATACTTTGCTCACTATCTTCCTGCAGCAGAAGCAACATCTTATATTATTGTACACTGGCTTTGTACATTTGCTTCTGGTCTTTGTTTCTGGTAAGTAAGTGACTTCATTATCAGAAAAAAATATCTTGTTAAAATAAACAAATTTCCTTTTGAAATACTATTCTTAGTTCAAGAACAATCCTGAAAGGAAGAGTTGACCAGTCCATCTGGGAGCTGGATTTCCTGTATATCATGCTATAGCGGCTAATCATGGGCCACAACGAGGACATTTTCATGTCATCTGAGGTGCCCAAGTTATAGGCTCTATTTGAGAACTGGGAATATTCTGCTAATTCCCCCCAAAAGCATTATATTTAATTAGTTGCAAACTAATTAATGGAGCATATAAATGGAGCCACACATACTTGTACAAATTCTTATCTAGAGTTTGTACATTTTCATATATCTAGGAAGCAGTACAGGACACTAATGAAGGTGCAGGGGTCAATAAACACCACGGATGAAAGTGAATAGTTGAGCATGCTTATTTCTGGAAAAAACATGCTTTGACTTTAAAACTGCAGTGAACATTTTTCAATTAAACTGGCCAAAAAAAAGTAGATCAAAGGCACACCACTATACTGTTTATATAAAAAGGAAACAAAACAATACCATTGTACTTTGCAACATTAAAAAGCTAAATACCCTAAATGACCTTCATCTTTTCACCTCCTCCACTTACTGATAACAAATTCACAGTACATTTTTGGTATCAAAAGATAACACTACAAAGCAGCAGTGGTAGCATGTTGCTGCAAACTTGATTGGAGAGGTTCTAGCCCTCTGAGGCAGAAAGACACACAGTTTGCAAACCTTCACCAAGAGATGGAGGTTCAAAATTCACTAGCATTGTCTAGAAGAATCTAGAATTCTTCCTGGTTTGTAAGCTTGAATTTACTGTAAGAGGAGTCATATACCTTGGGCCAGATTTGCCAAATAAGAAATGACCAGGAGTCACCATGGCAGCTTCCAACTTGAATTTGAGTGTGTGTTGGGACTGATAGCCGGGAGAAAAGAACATCATCAAACACCTACGTGTCAACTTTGTTGTATAACGATTTGACTGTATTTGAATTATTTGCTCTCATAAAGACAATCAGAAAAGTGTGGCAGGAAAAAAAAAACTTTTATGTTTTTCAGAAAATGTATTCAAACCAAGGTCTTCCTAGAAAAGAATTTGTGGGACATTCATCATGGCAAGCTATGTTGCAATAGCAATACACGGCAGTATTTTCAAAGCCAATTCTTATCAGGACATTCAGGGTCACTTTGTTACTCTAATCGAATGACACATGTATGCATTGCCTTTTGGATGGCCTTGCATTGTGTTGGCCATCACTCTGTGAAGCCTACTTTCTTCACTTCCTGGGAAATACCTGGCTGAGGGTCACCTTCAAGTGGATTATGGTTGAGCAGGTTGAGAGAGCAGAGAGAGAAGGGAAGGAAAACTGGACTTGGAAGTTACTGGACTTGTTTCATAACATGTTGCCAACCGGTATGGGCCAGTTACTTCACTTACTCACATTTTAAGGAAGGGAAGAACTAGTTATTCCACTTGCTTTCAGAGGGGGATTTGAAGGTCAAATAAGATACTAGCTTTGCACAACCTGTGAAATACATGAATCACAGCATTTGCCCAGCTGTCAGACTATCCTGACCCTGAATATGACCCTGTAAAGATGACTGCGGGTCAAATGAAACAAAATAGAAGAGGGGACTTCTCGGTGCTGAGTCTGGGGGGAGAGGTGTGTACAAGGAAGGAGGTTATATTTGAGGCAGAGAAGGATGGGGCTGGTGTTGTCAGAAAGTTTTTGTGATCAAGGCAAGAATGGCTCAAGTAGAAATGACTTACAGATAACAACCTGAAGATGAGAAAAAAGGTATGTACTAGAGAGAAATTTATGAAAGCACCCAGATAATTTGTTGAGAGAGAGAAAGGCAGGCGACTTGCCAGAATCAGTTATCTAGGTGGGGTTGGGAGACAGCAGTGAGAAAAAGAGAGAGAGTCAGAGAGAGAGCAAAGGAGAAATAATTTTAACAACGAGCAGTTGCAGTAATGATAACGTTGAAGGTCCTTCAACAGGACACTTCAAGAAAGTTGTACTTGTTGACTGAGTTAAAGATGTAAAAGAGGATCAGAATCAAGTAGATTGTAAGCCTTGAAGATTGGAGGAACTTGAAAGCTTTGAATGTGACACTACATTAGGGAAAAAGGGAAGAAAGCAAAAATTTGTGTGCTCAAAGGTGAACGGAAAGGAGAAAACATGGAACTGAAGTTAGCAGTCTAAGACAAAAGTTGGCACCCACAGCAGAGGAGTAGGAGTGTAGAGGAGAATGGGTGTAAGCATGACCCTTTGGCATGTAACACTGTGCGTACCAGTACCCAAAATGAGCATAATAATAAATATGCTTGCACCAATTCACACGAGCACCAAAGGATGACATGACTAAGTCTTGCATTACCTTGAGTGAAGCCAGTAAATGTTACGTATCCACATGTCGCAAAGAGCATACAGATAAATGCAGACACCAAGACAGACATATGGATAATGCGGGACCACTTAGCCACTGTGGGTTCTTCCAAGGAACCATAAACTAAGAAGCAGTTGTGGTGGCAAATAAATGCTGCATGATAAAAAAAAAAGTGGAAAAATCATTGTTAAAGTAAGCACTAGGTTTCCTTTTGTAATCCTGAGAATTAATATATGTGTAATACTATAGAATGTCAATGAACTTGGGTTTGAATATATTAGTTTATTCATGCATCTGAAAATATTTTCCTTTAGAGATTCTGGGAATAACAACCTTTATCGTATCAGGCTATGTCACTCTTGATATAAGCCAAATCAATCTGATCTTCTCTCCAATTTTCTTTTTCCTAACCACCCTTCTAATCTTAGGGAAACGAATAAGGAGCATCATAATTTTTAACTCAAGTCTTTTTGCCATCTGTAGCACAAAGTAGCTTTACAGCTCTGGAGACCTCATAAAATTTTGTGTGCAAGGTTTTTAAAAAGTCCAAAATACTTGCTAGACTTCCAAGTTGAGAAATAAGATTTCTCTGACAAGTTCTCTACATGAGAAACAAATTTGTTCAAATCAAAGCAAATTTCAGTGATGAGTGAAGAGAGCTTGGGCTTCGTTATATACTGCCATAGACTGGATCATATGCTGCTAATTGGACGCCTAAAACAGGACATCTGTGATGCAGCTATCAAAGTAAAACACAGCCCTCTTTCATGTGTACTCACCAAAAGACATCACCCCGACAGCCTGAATAGCATTGGGCTTGGCGAACACCCAGGCATCTTCTGTTTTGGGTCTAGAAGAGAGTTTGATAAACTATTGAACAAATATAAGCATAGCAGAAAATATGACATGGTGTTACCAATATAAATCGAATATCTTGAAGTGAGGGATTAATAGGGGTCTGATTGATCTAATTTAATCATAAGCGAATTTTCCGAGAACATCCTTGTTATTTCTTAACCCTTGCCCTCTGAAATGCGTATCAAATACTTGTATATTTTCTTTTTAATGTATATAAAATATTGATCCATTGTGCAATTTTGTGAATTTATTTATTTGCTAGTTAATTTCATGGGGACACATGCATTCGTTATTCTCCAGGTGAGGAACTCGTTGACAGCCACAACAACTGTTAATGCTCTAACGTTGCGCTCTGCTCCCTCGCCATTGTTACCCCACGTTCAGCCTTCTAAGGGGAGTTTAGTTGGTACTACAGGTTATTGGAAGGGGACGACGTGAAACTAACCACGAGGATGTTATGGGAATTCTGCTGCATCTAATTTAATTTTCATTAAAGTACATGACATTTAAGTACTGCTTTCACCACATAACACACGAGGAAAGCTCGATTCTGGGTGGCAACTTAATGTACCAGTCCTGCACAGAAAACTAAGGCAAGATTCATTTTCTTGATCTTTTCACTTGGATGTATCATTCCGTGTGTGACTGTTAGTGGTCTCATATAACCACCTGTACGCACATTTCTCACAGGAATTCTGGAAACACAACTCCAAATAGTCTGAAACCATTGAAACGTAGTAGGATTAATATTTCCAGTATTGGCAGGGATTAGGCTGCCTGGTTCACACTCCCATGGGTAAATACGATCAGCACAAGCTCCAAGATCATGGAGCCTGTGTTTTTCTTCTGACTACTTCATTTATTAGCTGTGTGATCCTAGACAAATTATTTCCCTTGCCTATGTTCCAGTTGCTGCATTTATAAAAGAGATAATATAATACATTGAGTTATTGTATGGATTAAATAAGATAAAACATGTAACATTTTGGGGAGTCTATCACATAGTACACAATCATCTTGCAGTGTAATCTGCTATTTCATGGAAGGTAGGCAAATGTTTAAAGGTGCATGCCGTAGAAAGGAAGGGTTAGAGTGAATCCCAAAAGAATTCATGAAGCCAGGAGAAGGGGGTAGAAAAGCACTCTAGAGAAGCATGAAGGGACCACTATATTTTAAGTAGCACAGGGAAATGCAGAAGATGAAAACCCATCCACTCATCATGTTTGTCACTCATCCTCTTCATAAAAATATATACCCCTCCCAAACACACAAATCCATCATGTCATTTCTCTTGCCATATATGAAATGAATAGTTACAGACAATGTAACTTTATAGAAATGCTAGTTTGCTGGGAAGGCCTGCTACATGATTTACTCCCAACTTGCAGTGTTTTCAGTGGGAACTGCTGCCACCTGGTGCTCGACTACTTTTACTGCAGTCAATGTTAATAGCCAGCAACACACCTTGTTAAATTTCAATGATAATATGCAAAACCTACATATTTTGTTCATGATTTCTAGAATATGGTTTAGAACAAGCAATGCTAGCAATTGTGGGCATTTGAAAACTGCCTGTCTCGGTTTTTGCATGTGAGAAATATCGATTTCTTCCCTTCAGCATAGACTGCGACAGTGTCTTACATCTTTTCTATTTTTCATTTTTTATTAACATTTTATGATACAATTCAGTATGCTCTGGGATTTCCCTTATCCCCCCCACCCTGCACTGAATTCCCCTGAATTATTACAAAAGTATAGTTCCTCGTAAGTAGTCATAAGTCCATCATTGCAGGCATGGATAATTATTAAAATGTAAGAATTTTACTTTATTTTTCTCCCTGAATTTTCCCCTTATCCGTATGGTATCTTAAGTATATTCCTGGAGTGTGAAACAATAACAGGATATGATTTTGAATTTTCTCTGTTCATTTTAGTGAAGGTAATTTTATTAAACAGAAAACAACAGAAAAAATGGTAAACATAGGAAATACATGTGTCCAAATCTATAGAGAGAAAAGGGAAGAGAAACTAAAAATGACTTTCCAAAGAGAAAAGCAAATTGCAAGAAAGTCAGTTCCACAGGGGAAAAAAAGAAGAAAAGTTTGCTGGTGTATTTTGAGACTGCTAAAACTTTGACACTCAAATGAGGAAAGAAATGAAGATATAGACTCTTCTGACCTCAGAAAATAAATGTGCAAATGTAAAATGCAGTACTAGCAAACTGCAGTGAAGCAATTTATAAGATAAAAAGGCATGACAAAAGAATTTTTCCAATAAATGCTAAAATAGTTTAATGATATTACATTTAGCAATATGATGCAATTTAACAGATTAACAGGTTAATGGAGAAAAAAGCTTGACTAGTACAAAATACCAGAAAGCACATGATCAAAATACTGAGCAAGCTATTAATAAAATAGAAGTACTTTAATCTGAATGGAACATCCACCAAAATTCTACAGTAAATTACATATTCATGATTGAAGTTGAAAATACTGTAACCAAAGGCTGAAGGGTGTTCAATAACACTGTCTCCAAAATATATAGCAAAAGTACTTTAAAAGGTTTATGGAGGTGTCAGTGTGGTGGCTTAGCACACTAATCCTCTGCCTGCAATGCTGCATCTCATATGGGTTCCAGTTTGAGTTCTGGCTGTTCCACTGCTGCTCTGGCTCGCTGTCTGTGGCCTAGGAAAGCAGTGGAGGATGGCCCAAGTCCTTGGAACCCTACATTCATGTGTGATACCTGGAAGAAACTCCTGGCTCCTGACTTTGAATTGGCTCAAATAACAATGGTTAGGGAAGGGAATAGCTAAGCAATATATACCAAGCTGCTCACTTTTTTTTTTTAACGATTTGATATTTAAATAAAAACAAAATTATTTCACAACTAACCCAACAACATCAATAATGATAAATTACTGGAAAAGAACAATGAGGAATTATTGGCAGGGGAATTGTAAAGCAATTTGGAAATGAATTTGGTAATAACTAGTAAAAGGCAAGGTCAACAAAGCTTGTTAGCAAATGAATGCATGCATAGATAGATGCCTAGGCTAGAGAGCCACACGTGTCCACAGAGAACTATATAACGGTGTTCACTGCTGTACTATTTATGTTAACTTTATATTGAAAAACACCTCAGTGTCAAGCCATATTGCTGATAACATATATCAAAAGAGTGAAAAATGGTATAATCCTAGAATTGGGAGGCACAGAGCAACTAAATTTCATATGCTAATGTGTTACAATGAAAATATGTGGAATAAAATAATGAGGGAAGGAAGGCAGAAAGTTATAATAGAGAATGTAACTTTTTGGCAGAGTAATAATTTACAATACTATCTTTTTCTGTCAACATATCAGTGCATAAAACAGTACAAAGGCTTAAACAGCATGAATCAAACTAATTTAAATGTAATTGCTTTTGGTAAAAAAAATAATGAGCTTTTGAATATGATAGCTGTTGCTAATCAAATCTCAAATAAACAAAGTATTTCAAAAAGATGAAGTTCAAGTGTGTTCTCCCTGATTTTAATGTGATGTACAATGTTTTCTACATGAAATCTTTCTGTATTGAGCCTAAATTTTAGACTTGAATTTTCCTAAACAGTCTACAGCTGAAACTGGATATATATGTTTTCTAGTCATCTAGTTTATTCAGTGTTTAACAAATATTTGTGCACCACAATGTAACCCCCCATAATGGTCACTGAACAGAAGACATGGAGAACAGACAAAGACAGGGGTCAATTGCGTTGTTGTTTATTTCATATCATAATCTAGAACAGCCTGTATAATAGTACCATTTGTAACACAGAGATGTTTGCTGTCTCTGCTGTTCAATGTGATTGTCACTAACCAATCATGACTGTCGAGCATTTGAAATTTTGGAGGGTATGACTGGGAAATTAATTTCTAATTTTGTCTAATTTTAAAAACCACTAGTGTCAAGTAGCTACTGCAAAGGACAATGCAGATATTAAAAAGAATCATGTAGGTGATTTTTGTTTCAGAAAACAGGATTATCTTGTAATGGCTTAAAAGAGTTTAAGAAATTAGTGAAAGAGATTTCTTGTTTCTTTGGTGGAGCTGATCTGTTTCAGCCTATTGTTTACCACTGGTACTTTCTAAATGACAAGCAGAGGAATGCAGGGGTCATATCTAACGATAAACAGAAATGTTTTTAATCTGCTTACAAAGAGTGCTAAATATTTTTGAATTTACAAATTAAGCACAAGGAAAACAAACCAGGAGAATTCAATTGAAATTGTAATTAGAAGTAAAGGTATAGGGAAGAAAAAAGACTATACAGTAGTCAAATATCTTAAGATATGAGCCAATAAAACATAGTTACTATAAATCATCAAATTATAATATAGGTTCTACTTTTAAAAAATATTTTTAATAATTTACAAATTACTTTTTTTACTGGAGAATGATTTTCTCTTGACTACTCAAATTCAAACATGAATTAACATAAAACTTCATGAGCATTTCCATTGCCAAAATAAGGAGAGTTTTCTTCAGAGGAAACGCCCAATTATGAATTACTATCCAGGTAATTCTTGCGTTAGATATGGTGTTGAATTCCTTTTCCCTAAAGCACTGAAGCCAGCAGTGTTTATCAGCATGGATGACTGCAGTGTGTAATTAGAAACAGTACACCTGATTTTAGCACACCACGGTCAGTCTTGTCTCTTCAGCAAATGACATCACCTGCTGATGAATGGAAAAACTCTTTAGCCTCATTTGTCCTCCATGCTCTCCTTTTATTTAACATGATTATTTGCTAAATACAGACCAAATAGGGGCTAACATCATTAATAAATGACAGCTAGAACTTAATTTTTTAAAATGAAAGACAATGTTTCTCATAACTATGAGAATTTGTTAAGGAATACAATATCCTAAAATTAAGGAGAAATGGGCTTTGAGTGAGACAGGCTGAGTTTAAGTCTTAACTTCATGATTTACTAGCTGGATGACTTTG